AACAGAAGTCCACATGGCTTCACTGCTGAATTCTACCAAACATTAATGGAAGAGTTAACACCTATTCTTCTCAAACATTTCCAAGAAATATAAGAGGAAAGAAAACTTCCATATACATTGTACAAGGCAGCACTACCTTTATACCAAAACCAGATAAAGACACAATAAAAAAAGAGAACTACACTCCAATATCTCTGATGAACATACATGCAAAAATCCTCAACAAAATATTGGCAAACCGCATCCAACAAAAATCATTCACCACTGTCAATTAAATTAAATTAAATTAAATTAAATTAAATTAAATCCAAGTAGGATTTAATTTTCGGATGAAAGGTGGTTAATTATTGGCAAATCAATGTAATACATCACATCAATAAAAGAAAGGATAAGAACCTTTCAATATCTGCAGAAAAAGCATCTGACAAAGTCCAATTCATGATAAAAACTCTCAACAAAGTAGGGTTAGAGGGAACATATTTCAACATAATAAAGGCCTAATATGAAGCACCCACAGTCAACACCATCCTAAATGGGGAAAAACTCAGTTTTAATGTCAAGAACAAGAAAAGGATGTCTACTCTCACTGCTTTTATCTAACATGTTACTCAAAGTCCTTAGTCCTCAAAATCACACAACAAAAAGAAATAAAAGGCATCCAAATTGGTAAGGAAGAAGTAAAACTTTTGCTATTTGCAGATGACATCATACTTTAGATAGAAAACCCAAAAGACTCCAGCAAAAAACTTCTAGAATTGATTAATGAATTCAGTAAATTCATAGGATACAAAATCAACGTACAGAAATCTGTTGTCTTTCTGTGCACCAATAATGAATAGAAAGTGAATTTAAGAAAACCATCCCATTTACAACTGCACAAAAAATAATGAGGTACCTAGGAATAAACCTAACCAAAGAGGTGAAAGACCTGTATCCTGAAAACTATAAAACACTGATGAAAGAAATTTAGGATGATGCAAAGAAACAGAAAGACATTTCATGCTCATTGGATCAGAAGAACTGGTATTATTAAAATGTCTGTACTGCCCAAAGCAAACTACACATTTAATGCAATCCCATCAAAATATCAACAGTATTTTTCACAGAACTACAACAATCTTAAAATTTGTATGTAACCACAAAAGACTCCAAATAGCCAAAGCAACCTTAAAAAGAAAAGCAAAGCTGGAGGCATCACAATCTGGACTTCAAGTTATATTTCAAAGCTGTAGTGATCAAAACAGCATGGCACTGGCACAAAAACAGACACACAGAACAATGGAACACAATAAAATCCCAGAAATAAACCCACAATTATATGATCAACGAATCTTCAACAAAGCAGAAAAGAACGTGTGATGGAAAAAAGACAGCCTCTTCAACAAATGGTGTTGAGAAAACAGGACAGCATTATGTAAAAGATTGAGACTGAACATTAAACCATACACAGGAATAAATTCAAAATGGATTAAGAAGCTAAATGTGAGATCTGACTCCATAAAAGCCCTAGAAGAGAACATAGGCAGTAATTTCTCTGACACTGGCTATAGCAACATATGTCTAGATATGCCTCCTGAAGCAACAAAAGCAAAAATAAACTATTGGGACTAAATCAAAACAAAAAGCTTCTGCACAGCAAATAAACAACCAAGAAAACTAAATGACAACCTACAGAATGAGCAAGATATTTGCAACTGACATTTCTAATAAACAGCTAGTATCTAAAATATATTAAGAATTTATAAACTCAACACCCCCCCAAAAATAATCCAATTTAAAAATGGGATAACTGAGTCCTCTTTTGATTATAAAATACCTATTAACAGCTACTAAAACTAATGTTCCTGAGAACACACTTTAGAAAACTCTGCTATATATCAATTTATGTGATTTCTTCAGATCAAGAACTAAGATTTTTCCTTGATAAATAAGTATGTGCATATAGAACACTGTGCTCACTCAGTTCTTCTTGCACCTCTCCAATCACACTTTCTCTAACTCATTTTCTTCCTATTATTTATTAATGTTGGTACCTCCCAAAGATCAGCACTTAGAATTATTCTGTCTTTTTTCACTAAGGTCCTTTTCTCAGCAATCTTTACTCATTCTTAAAACTTCATCTGCCAGATCTATAAAAAATTTTCCCAAGTATTTATATAGCTCTGATCTCTTTCCCAAGTTTCAATTCAACATTTTTACTTTCCTACAGGACATTTCCACTCCATTTAGACTTTATCATCTGTCTCTGAACTTTGTCATATATTCTCCATTTCTATTAGCAACACCACTATTTCCCTACCTACTTAGGTTTGGGCCTCTATCTTATCTTTGACTCCTCCCATACCTTTCACTGCTGTAGATATGGCTTTCACTGTTGCTTTATGTTTAGTAGTTCAGAACATTTTATAGTGTCATCCTGAGGGTTATATGAGGTTCATTAATTGCTCATCATACAAAAGAGAAAACTGAGGCATAGAGGCATGACCAGTGACCCAGCTAGTACATGCAAGAGTTGGAATTCAAACCCAAATCTATCTGATTCTGGAATTTGGGTTCCTGAACACAGTGCTCTCTTGACTTGACAAGAGGGCCACAGAAGAATTCAGTTCTTGGGGAAACTCACATGCTCAGCCATGGATTAGGCCCAAGATAAGATACTTTCTTATCATCAGGGAAATGTAAATCAAATCTGCAATGAGATATCACCTCACACCTGTCAGAATGGCTAAAATCAAAAACTCAAGAAACAAGTTTTGGAGAGAATGTGGAGATAAAAGAACCTTGTGCACTGTTGGTGGGAATGTAAACTGGTGCAGCCACTATGGAGAATGGTATGGAGGTTCCTCAAAAAATTAAATATAGAATTACCATATGATCCACTAATTCTACTACTGGGTATTTACCCAAAGAATACAAAACAACACTAAATCAAAAAGATATGTGCACTTCTATGTTTATTGCACCATTACTTACAATAGCCAAGATAAGGAAGCAGCCCAAGCATCCATTGATATATGAATGAATAAAGAAGATGTGGTGTATATAATTGTATATATTACTCAGACATAAAAACGAATGAAGTCTTCCATTTGCAATAACATGGCTGGAACTAGAGGGTATAATGCTGAGTTCAGTAAGTCGGTCAAAGAAAGTGAAATACCATATGCTTTCACTCATATATGGAATTTAAGAAATAAAACAAATGAACAAAGAAAAAAGAGACAAACCAAAAAACAGACTCAACTACAGACTCAACTAACTGGTGATTAACAGAGGGGAGGCGATTTGGGGGATGAGTGAAATTGGTGATGGGGATTAGAGTACCCTTATCATGATGAGCACTGGGTAACATAGAGAATTGCTGAATTACTATATTGTACACCTGAAACTAATATAACATTCTATGTTAACTATACCAGCGTTTTTAAAAAAGATAACTTTCTTGCACCAAACTGCCATTATACATAAATATATATAAAACCTACTGTAACAAGTTCAATATATCAAAGATTTAGATTTACAAAACAGATCCTCAGGGGTACATTTATTTGGTTTTAAAAATAACTTTATAAAAGAAAAATATTCTCTCCCCTAGTATGAATATATTTATATTTCATTTTTATTAATTTTCACTAGAGGAGATATTCTGCATAGGTCAGGCTATACCTTTAATATTTCAGCAAGATTCAAGTATATCATTTATGAAATTTTTCTAGTAAACCCACTTTCATTCATGACAGAGAAGTCCAAAAGTGATCACTTTGGATAGACCATGAATTCTTCTTATTATCTTAATCAGTTTTCCTTGAAATGATACACTGTCTTTGAGTCTCATGATGTATATATATGTGAGATATATGTAGTCAATTGCTAACCCACTTTTTTCCAATGTACAATGAAAGAATAAAATTTATCCCCTAAGTTCTGATTCTATAAACCCAAGTTCATTGCAGACTGCTATGTTAGGTCACATGGTGGAAAAAAATATTTATGAATGCTTAATAGCAGTGAAAACCAAAAATAAAATTCACATGTAGTTCTATTTGAAAAACATATTTTGACCTAATTTATGGATAACTTTAAGTAACACTTTTTTTTTTAAAGATTTATTTATTTATCAGACAGAGAGAGACACAGCTAGAGAGGGAACACAAGCAGGGGCAGTGGGAGAGGGAGAAGCAGGCTTCCCGCAGAGCCGGGAGCCCGATGCGGGGCTCGATCCCAGGACCCTGGGATCATGACTTGAGACGAAGGCAGACGCTTAACGACTGAGCCACCCAGGCACCCAGTAACAATTTTTTTTAAGTTAAATTCTTAATTGCTGCATTAATCTGTGAAAGTTCAGCAAGAGCAGTATTGTTGGTCTACATAGGGTTAGATATAATTTATCTATACTAGTATCTACCAAAGTATGTACCTTGAAGCAGCACTACATTATACTGTTGAAAGGTTCAGAAAACACTGCAAATTTGATTCCTCTCTTGGAGACTGGCATTGTACAAACTCCTGGAAGTTCTGCAGTTAAAAATTTTTTTTTTGCTTATTTAATCCATCGTTTCTCAAGTTTATCAATATCTTGATATAATTGGGGTCATTGGAAATAAGACTGGAAAACCTTGATCTATGATGATAGGAAGGAGGGAATTATAGTAAGTAGATGGTACCAAAATCATTTGTACTGGATTCTGGAATTACGTGATTTTATCAGATTTTCTTCTAGAATGGCTATTTTTTAAAAGGATACATTAAAAAGATAATTGTCTCTAAGCAAGGCAACTAGACTCAAAGCAAATAGAAGCAGGCTGGGTACCAAGAAAAAGACATGGGATACTCAGGGTTTACTTAGGTTTTATACAGAGTATGTTAGACACTGGTGTAAAATGAGAACTGGCCATGCATATTTAATCCTTCTCTAAGATCACCCTCTAAAGCACAAAGAAAGACAGTAAGAAAAGGACAAGTAGTTCATTTATTAAAATGCTGACATCCAGCATACTCACACTGCCCATTCAAGCTTCTCATTCTTAATAGAGTTGTACAGAGCCTGTAAAGAGAGAAAACAAGATGGAATTATTCTTTTCATTCTGTTCAATATTTTTAATTCAGCAAATGACCAAAGCCAAAAGGAATCAGCAAGCAATTCCTAAGCCCCTTGTTAGTCACCCGTCGGCTCTGAAAGATAAGGACAGGTGAGGGAAATAAGCATAGGGTAAGCAGCCTTTTGTGAAACAGATTTTGCACAAAGTAAAAAATGGCTTTTATAAATAAGACATGCAACACTGTATTATATTTTACCATAGTAAAATATTAGGATATGATTAAAATTAGACCATGTACTCTATTTTCCTTATTCAAAATATGATCTTGTAGTTTCATTAGTTTGGATACTGAAGTATGCATATCTTTTTCATTGATGTAATAAATTTAACTGTTTTCACAACATTTTAATGAGTAAGATACATGTGAGGGGGACTGAACCTAGGGTATGGAACCCATCTTAGAATAATTTCAGAGTTTCTATACCAATGACTTATGCAGTTGTTATCAGTCTAACTTCATAATTGTGCTTTACAGTTAGTAAGTGCTATCCTGATGGGTATGAGGTGATGGAGGGGAAAGACAGAAAACTAGAGTTTTGGTAACAATAATGACAGTCAGCCTGATTCTCCCTGATTCTCCCAGATAAGATCCTTGTAATCAAGTTGTTCCACTATGACAACCACCCAAGAAAATGCTACTCCACATCTGTGCTTTCTTAATTTTGAGTAAGATGTAAAAGACAACACAAATGTATCTTTAAGCTATAAAACTACCACAACAAGTTATACTGAAGAAAAGGATATATGTATCGTAACATTATAATGATGCTGGAATGTTCTTCTTCAAAGAACTTGGACCAACTCGACTGACTCACCGAAGACTCAGTACAAATATATTTAGGTTACAGATTTTATATTACTTGAGATTTAATTCATGTATCCTTAGCCAGTATTTTCACAAACTCTGTGGGAATTTTGCAGGGTGGCTACCACAGTCAGTTTAAATACTGGATAATTATGAAGCTAATAAAAATTAGGAGGCATTTCATCATTAACAGGACATGGTAAAACGTGTCCTCAAATACAAAACTGATAGAACATCAAATTAAAATAAGGGATAAATTGAGGCACAAAGACCATGCTATAAATTGGATGTTCTTTTTGAGGAACTCAAATTTACTGAAGAACTACAACAACCTGTTGTTTAAATGTCTCATGAGACTGCACTTATTTAGACGTGCAGAGAGAGAAGACGTCTAACTCAAGCCTCAGAAACTCTTGCTGGATAAATGCCTTTTAAATGGGTTCCATTATTTGCATGAGCATTTTGAACCCACAAGTAATAGTGAGCTGAGAAACTGCAATTGAAAAAAGACAGATCATTAAAGGTTCTTTATATACTATCATATTCAAAATTACCTAGAGTAATTTAACAATGTAGTAAAGATAAAAAAAAAATCTATTCATAAAGGTAGATACTTGACAATGATATCTAAGCATCTAAAAATTTTCTAATATATTCATTTCTGTCCTAAAGCGAGTTTTTTCAAATTTTCTGCTCATGAGAATATTTTGCTTAATGAGGTACTGAGTTCCAAAATAGAAAACTCTTGTTCAGATGCATATCATGCAACAAAAATCTTTTTATAAAGTATTCTGTAAAATTCAACAAACTTGTCATATTGTAGTCCTCTCCCAGTGTATATATTATAACATGACAAATCTAAAAAGTGGATGTTATCCTTATCCTTTTCCAATTGCAAAATTACAAAGGGATTTGCTTGAATCTTTCTGGTGCTTTATAATGACACACTATTTTTCTTAAAAAAAGGAAAATATGCTTTGCAAATGCATCTAACATTTATATATCCTTCGTCACAACTTCCTATCCTTTTACCTATTAGCTTAGTAAAGAACTGACTCCTCTTAAAAAAAAAAAAAAAAAAAAAAAAAAAAAAAAAAAAGAACTGACTCCTCTTTAGCCCCACAGTCCTCCCTTCCATTCTCGTGCAACCTAGATCCCATGCTCTATCACATCAACCAGTCTTGTTATTATTAATATCTTCAACTTCTTTGTCCCACTGCCTCTCTGCTATACCAAAAAAAGACACTGAAACTCTTGACCAATCCTATTCTGACTTCTCCACATTTATACCCCGTATATTAGCTAAGGTTTCTTTAGTTTCAAATACAAATACCTAAACTCTAGCTACCTTATGCATTAGGGGGACCTAATAGTATACCTAATAGTTTATGTGGCCAAATCATAAAAAGACATGGATGGGGCTGGCCTCAGGGACACAGGCATTTAAAACTCTCCTCCTCTCCTCTCAACTATTCTCTTTCCACCCCAAACATCTCCACTCCTTGTTTCTTTACTACACAAGAAACATGTCTACAACAAGCAACCCCCATTTACATCTTTTATGTCTTCCAACAAGAAAAAACAGTTCTTTCTCCTAACTCCAATTTGAAGATTCTAATTGGTGTGGTTTAGATCACCTGTCCTCCCCATGGACTAATCCCTGTAGCTGGAAGATGAAATATAATGACTGGGCCCAGCCCTGAAGTCAAGGAGGTTGGGGTATATATTAAAGAAGGGGTAGCACTGACCTAGCCACTAGTGTTATCCTCCTGAGCTTCACAGCCTCCCCTATTTGTAGGTGACTAATTCAGCACTAAGGGTGAAAATTGAACAAGAACACAAATTAATGCCATTGAATATTCATCATCTCAAACTTCAGGAGAGGCTGATTCATGAGCCTCCTTCAACTCTTTGCCATCTTCCCTAAAATGTACCCGCAATGGCATCTATTTTTTCTGCCTTTCTGATGGTAAGGGAAGGGATCCTCTAAAATTGGTCCTGATAACTTCCCTTTCTGTGGTAACATCTCCTCCTTTACTAGCGCCTTTCTATTAGCTTTCAAACATGTGCAAGTCTCTCTAAACCCCACTTCTGCAATTTAGTTACCACCCTTTGTTCCTCAGCCGCTATTTTAGCTAAATTTCTGAGATAAGTTTCTGCAATTCATATCTCTACTTAATGTCTTCTCTTCAACTCAGGCAATCTTGCTTTCATTCCTGTTCCTCCATTAAAAACTGATCACAATAAATGCATCCGATTCTTTTATGCTAAATTCAAGCCACTTTTCAGTGTTCCTGCATCACTTTGCCTGTCAGCAGCACTGAATACTCTCAAATATTTTCTTCCTTATTTTCTGTGACACAATACAGTCTCCTGAATTTTCTCCTAACTCTTTGGATAATCCCCATTACTCACATCTTTCTCACCTTATCACTTAAATGTAGGTGAGCCTAAGGGTTTATCTTCAGCCCATGTGAACTCTTGTGAACATTAGATCCATATGTCAGATGCACCTGGATGTTTCCAAAGCACCACAAAATCAGTAAAGAGGAACTAAGGCATGAAGACCTAAAAGTGAAAATGTACTCTCAAACTTGGTAACCTTAGTATAAAGTATTTAATTTTTTGAGTGTGGAAACACTATACATAAAGCCCAAGTAAAGGTAGTTTACAGTAATATAAAATATATCCAAGTCAGAATCCTAGGACTGCCAGAATTTTTCTATCAACTATTTCATCCACAATACTATTATATTCCTATCATACAAGCAAGAAAGTTCCAAGTTAAAATCCTACTATTTGCCTACTAATGGCATAGGGACAAATCTTTTAGTAATAGTGTTTTTGGGATGAATTGTAACAACTCTCTAATTCCTACTCAAGAAACAACAAAATGGAATTTCACAGCTGACAGGGGCCTTAGAAATCATAAAACAAATTCTTCCTTTTATAGATTAAAGAAAATGAAGTCATACGTTAATTAACTTCTCTCAAGGTCCAATAGCTGTTTTTCACAAGCTCTGACTCAGAAATCACATTTTTCAGAAATCAATTGACTATATTTATTCAACTAAATATATAATATATATATATAATATATATAAATAAATTCAACTAAATCTTTTATCAACTAAAACTAACTACACTGTCTCCTCCTAAGACCAAACTTTACAGCACCGTAAATGCCTGGCTTGTCAAGACCCATGTGAAAAGGTAACAAGGCTTGTGCCTCTCTCAGAATACATTCAAGAATGGTGGTCATTGTAATATTCTAATGGATGAGCTTTCAACAAAAGTCACTGTTGCTAGGACACATGCTTGAAATGCCTTTGTTGGTGACCATGACTGGTTTGCCACACTGATCCTATAGTCTCAGTCCACTTACAACTAAAGGTATCTGCCATATAAATGGCTGAAACTGGAGATGTAGTCTATAGCTCAGGAAAATAATTTATCCCTAGCTATGTAAGGGGTTATTTGACCTAGCTCCAAGAGAGCAAGGTTTGTGGGCAAACATTGTCATGAAAGGCTGTTTCGTGTGGCCCAGTGGCCACAAATTGATAGTTGGGGATAAATCAACCTTAATGGGCCACAGTAACCCATATATATTATATGCAGTAAGGTAATAACCAGTTGTGGTGGGCTAAATAATGGACCCTCAGATGATGTCCAGGTCCTAATCCCTGGAACATGTAAACATTTCTGTATATAGCAAAAAGACTGCAAATGTGATTAAGTTAATGATCTTGAGATGGGGAGGGTATCTGGGCTGGGTGGTGTCCAGAGAGGATGGGAGGGCGAGATTTAAGAAAGACAGAAGAAGAGAAGGCAATGTGAAGATGGACACAGAAATTGGATACAGACACAAGTGAAGGAATGCCAGCAACCACCATAAGTTGGAAGAGGCAGAGATTCTCTCTGAGACACTCCAAAGGGAGTGCAGCATGTTGACAACTTGATTTCAGACTTCTGGCCTCCAAAATTAGGAGAAGATATATTTCTGTTGTTTTAAGACTCCAAGTTTGTGGTAATTTGTTATAGCAGCCCTAGGAAACTAATACACAAAGGTATAAATGGAAGACAGATATCTGAGTAAAGAAAGGTTGTTTTTCAGAAATATTTCCAGAGTCAGTCCCTAGG